AAAACTGTTGAATATAAAATTATATTCACATGTCATAAACTGAATAAAAGATCTTCAACCAACAAAAACACCGATGAAACAAAATACTTTTGTTATGAAAATTCTTATACGGCCATTTAACACCCGATCGCGACGTCGTAAGAATTCAGATTATGGCTCATTACAAATCGTTTGACTTTTACTTTAAAACAGTATCGTTAAAAAATTCTTTACTTTAATTGTCTTTGGGATGATGATTGTCGATCTTTTTATATATATTGGATGACCTGACAGACGTTGTCCTGTACCGACGTCTACAACGCAAAATTTTCAAATTTTTCCAAACCCTACCTATACTTTTTAACATCCTATTTAATGTCCTGCATTTGCGATTTATTTATGGTCTTGGCATGTTCTATATGTATTGTAAATTACAGTTTTTTTAATTAGTATAAATGTATAGAAAAATTAGGAAGAATTAATATAGTATCTGCGGTGAAAGAACAATATTAACTTGGATTTTTCCTTAGCATAGAATATATAACATAGAATAAGATAAAGATTAACTTGAGCAGATGGAGATTATTTGATATATAATTTGAGATCAGCTGCAAACAATATATGTGGACAACTAATGGTTTTGAATATATAATTAATAAAAGTAATAAATAGTAGAGGACGAAGAGTGAACAAAAATCCGTTAAGGTAGACAAATTGTTTACGATTTTGAAGATAACTCTTCAACTATTTTTTTTACAATTTATTCTTTTTTTTATTACTATACTTACTCAGTTCCAAACCACTATGGTATATGATGCATTGACACCATATTACAATAATATAAGGTTTATGATTGACATACTATAAAATTATTAATCAAAATTCGAATAGTCGTTTAGAAGCAGTTCAGTGACAACACACGTACAGCAGATTTATATATTGTTATACTAGAATATCCAATGACACCCCTTTCTGTGTAGATCACCAATGATGTCAACAATTTATTTTTTCTGCTTCTAACAAAGCTGTTATCAATCTGTGGAGGCTGATCAGTTAAACAGACGAAGACGTTTGATGTATTTATTTATTTTATGATTTCTTGTACATTTTACACAAAACTTAAACAACTGAACTTGAATACGACTAAATATGATTATCTTAAATACGATTTCATTGATAACTAAAGAACGACTGAACTAATGATTGACTGAAACCTAAATTATAACTGAACTTATAAAAAACTAAATTACGACTGAACTGGCGAATGCGTCATTGCATGCCTTTTATGTGGTTCTTTCAGGGAGACTTTGAATTCCTAAATAACAATATTTTACGACTTGTTTAACGTCATGGCAGAGTGCAACACAATGTATTAACAATAGATAACTAAGCTGTTATTGCGTATTTTATTGTCCTGAAAGGAATTTTATCAACCCTTGCAAGGTTATTGCTCATGCATTGTAAATTATGCATGATTCACGAAGAATACTGCGTAGTTTGTATTATGACCGTTATTTAGTGGTTATATTATTTAAAATTATTAAGAATAGGTGCATACCCTTACAATACATATAAGATATATATATATATATATATATATATATATATATATATAAGCGAAAGGGAGATATTTGACAACCTAATATATATATATATATATATATATATATATATATATATATATATATATATGCGTTGGTATGCATAATGTGAATTTTCTGACAAAATATTATTTACAGATATAACTGGGCCCGAAAAAAAGAATATTATAATGATGAACATTCTGGATCCCCTGCTACGCCCTCGAGTGAGTTCTAATATGTTATGCACAAACAATTTTGAAGTTACCAACTTAGTGTCTTCGGATAGTAGCAAATCCAAAAAGGGATTTATGTCCTATGGTGGTTGTGCTATGACTTTCCCAGTAGATATATATTTTGATCTTATATGCGAATTTGATGTGCATTATATAACTATTTGGCCCGAGGTGGGTCTTCAGAAATCTCTTGGATTTGATATATTGACTGATAATTCGGGAACTCTCATCACAGTTGCAAAAGGAAAGTTAGATGATGAACCAGGAATGGTAATATATCGAAGTGATCTTTATTTTGAGCGTCCTCCCGCAAGCGAGCATGCACCACAGATATTTCGCAAGGTTGAATTCAACAAGATTCCTAATATCTTTAATTTATGTAAAAAAGTTGTTGTTCGGATTACAAGCACTGAAGGAAACAGTATTCCGTGCATATCTAAAATCCAAATTTGGGGAGGTGTTAGCGATGCATGCTCGACAGAAATTCGCAATCACATAATTGATGTTTGGAAAATGAAGGATGATGTAGGTGGACCTCTCAAATTAAATTGTGATATAATTTATAAAAACTCTCAACCTGAGGTTAAAGACGAAGTAAGCACCGATAATAAATTTGAAGTTCCGTCGCAATTTCTCGATGCAACAAATTCTAAAATAATGCGCATGCCATTGATTATGCCATCGGGAAAAATTATTGATAAAACTACGTTAGATAAACATTTAAGACAAGAATTACAACTAGGCAGATCGCTTTCCGATCCCATTACTAAAATAGCATTCACGGAAATGCATAAGCCAATGATATCACTTCCTCTTTTAAAACAAATTAATAATTTTTTATTGCTTAATAAAAGTTTACCGAAAATGTGTAATCTTTCGGATGATAGCTTCTGTGAACATATAAGTAATTGGAATGTGGACAGATCATCTGAATGTAGCATGGCTATAACTATAAAGAAGAATAATCAACCAATTGCTAAAAGCAAATCTGAGAGTGAATTGATTAATAAAATTTGTGACCAGTTGTCAGATTCTGGCACCAACTTAGAAAAAAATATTCGCCTGAATGATTCGCAGTGTCATATAAAGGAAGACATTCAATCTTTATTACATAAACAATCACTTCCTTCAAGCAGTGATTCCTCGCAATTGGTAACTGCTGAAGATGTAGCAATAAGTACACCATCTGATGGGATAGAACCGGCCGAAAATAATTCAATTACTAGTAATAATACTAATATTTCAAGCAACAAAAAGCAACAGAATGACAATACTGGAGTAGAAACAAGGATAACCAGAAAAAGAGTTCTAAGTAAATCAAGATCAAATAAGACAACTTATAGAAACAAAAGTACTGCAAAAGCGGTAGGCAAAAATTTAGTAACTCGGCGCAAAAATAATACACCCTCCCAATCACGGGTTATAAGAGCAGCTGTATCTAAGTCTGTCGACAAAACTGTTTCTACAAAACGTTTTAAAAAACATGTTGGAAATAATAAGGCTACATTATTAAGAGCTATGATGGGTTTGCCTATGCCACATGGTTGGACAAAAGAAACTGAGAAATGTCCGCTCGTACTCCAAGCTTTAGCTAGAAGGGAAGAAAGAATGGGTTTACATAAGCGCACACAATCAAGTTCAAAAAACGCTCGAGTGCTCAAACGCAACAAACGTTTTAAATCTAAATCAAAAGAAGAAGACAAGAAAAATACCAATATTAATGAAAAAATTGACGGCGGTCCATCCACTTCTGGCAAAAAAACGAACGAAAATGAATTCAGTGATAGGAAAGCTTCGACTCCTACTAATACCTCTACGGAGAGCAGCTCGGATGAATCTACTTCTGACTCCGAGAGTACTAGTGACGCTTCCACAACTGACAGAAATTGGAGCACTAGGGCAATCGCTACTGAATCAGAGAACAGCTTAGGTGACTTTACCTCAACAAGCCCCGTTTTTTCAGTATTTGAAGGACGCAGAGTATCCCGTTTGTGTCGCAAATCATGCGGTCGGATTACAAAAAGTAATTCTATATAGATATGATACAGTATTATCACTTTTTTTTTAATTAAAGCTAAAATAATTGGTTTATACCAGAATGGAATTGAGGGTAATTTTTATAAAAATAATTATATAATCATTAGTAATAAATTTTATTTAAATATAATTAAAATATGTATACATAGTAAACAATCACAGTTTGAATCAAGGCAGTACAATTTAAAATAAAACCTTGCAATTCAAAAGTTTTCAATATTAATAGATCAATAAATATTAAAATGTTAAATGTGGATATTTTTAACATTCGTTTAGTTGCTTACAATTTTTTTCTGAGGTTTTTCAAACATTTTTTTTTATTTATTTACACTAAAATAATTTTGAAACAAACAAGTAGAAAATATGGTTACTGTTATAAAGAGATCACCATATGTTGTAAAACGGTTAACTAATTGTTGAGTATCATTTGTATTCATATTGTATTGCCTTATCATATAATATATAATAATTAGAATATATTACTTATTAAATGATAACATATATATCACTCTATAAAATTATATTATCAATGAAACAATTACAAATTTATCGTATTATATTCTTTGTAGTTTATACCAGAATGGAATTATGGGTAATTTTTATAAAAATAATTATATAATCATTAATAATAAATTTTATTCAAATATTATATTTTATTCATATATTAAAATATGTATACATAGTAAACTATCATAGCTGGAATCAAGGCAGTACAATGCAAAACAACACCTTGCAATTTAAAAGTTTTCAATAATAATAGAAACAAACGAGAAACGAATATTGAAATAATAAATGTTGATATTTTCAACATTCGTTTAGTTTCTTAAAATTTTTTTCTCAGGTTGCTCAACCATTTATCTTTTAGTTATTAACAAAAAATAATTTTGAAACAAACAAGTTGAAAAGATGGTAACTGTTGTGAAAGATCACCCTATGTTGTGAAATTGTTAACATGACATTGAATATCATTTGTATTTATATTGTATTGTCTTATCATATAATATCCAATAATTAGAATAAATTACTAAAAATTAAATGATAACATATCTATCACTATGTAAAATTATATTGTCAATGAAACAATTACAATAAAGATATATTTATCGCATTATATTCTTTATAACAATAAAATAAAAAAAATAGATACATTGAAATGGTAAATGTAATATCATTTAAATTTCAATATTTTTTCAGACAAAACTTGAAAAGACAAAATAAGTAGCTTAATATTTCGTTTATACCATTGTACATTGTAATCTAAATGTGTTTTCCAATTTGTATCTAGAAACGATTTATAAAAAACACTCATTTCATCCGCTGTCAATGTAGAGATATTTTCCTTCGAAGGATTTTTTTGTATAAATTCGTTCCGTTCCTATAAATTAATAACAAGCAGTAAGATTATTTGGGCATAACTCTTTCATAAGACAGAGCATTGACTAATTAGCTTGTGATTGAATAACATATTATCGTACCTGGAAAAATCTCTGATTGTGTTTAAACCAAAACTCTTGGTTCCATTTATGAACTTCGATACGACTTTCTCTTAGAAGCTTTTCTCGAGGAGTCTCATTTTCTTTTTTGTACAACAATAATGGTCTTAAGTTTGATACTTTATCCGGTAGACCAATGAAATCACATTTTTGTTTTTGCGGATCAGGTAATGGGGCATTGCTTATCGATGACCTCTAAGACAAAGTGCATGTTATACTGATGGAAATAATTATAACACATTTTGTTGTGAAATATATAATAAGTTTATTTTGGTATATGGTTCATTGAAAGAATAGTTAAAGAACAAAGAGAGGTGACATAACAGATTAAATAGTAAGTAAAAGTTAACCTCAAAAGTTATTATTCACCTGGTATAAATCAAACTTGAAATGTTTTTCGAAATTATATATACATCTCCTAGAAATTGAATTCATTTTATGAAATTTTTGTAATATGAACATATAATCACTTTTTACATTTTAAATACAAAGTTATCTAGCATAATAATTAACTCGCATAGCTGTCAGTTTGACAGCTCAGGTGACAGCTAAAATAAGTCGCTGTCATTGGCTGCCGCATGCCGTTGGTGCTCCTGAGAAATTGCATTCATTTCATAATTCGACTCCTGTCATTGTGAACCACGTTTTCATTTGTACTGTTATTATTTAAAGGTTATACTGTTTTATTTTATGTATTTACCTTCTTTTAAACACATTTATTTCAAGTCTTTTAAGTATTACTTGTTGTATACTTGTTTGACGTAATTGTGATATTTGACACAAATATTTAATTCCCATGTATAATTTTCTGAAAAGATCTCTTGTGAAACTGAAATGGAAACTGAAACTGGATATGTTGGAAAGAATAAACCAGGTGTAAGTATTTGATCCTGAAACTAATATGGTGCATGACATAGTGTCTTAAGGCAAATTGCTGAAACTTCTCGCCAAAAATTTGTAAAAAGATTTAAACTTTTTTTTAACTTTGAAAAAATTAGATTTCTAAAAAAATTTAAGGGGCACAACTAGTGTGAAATTTCGAAAAAATCTGTTTTTGTTTTTATTTTCATATTTCGGTAGATTACACCTTTAAAAATAACATATTTGAATTTCAAATCGATATCTCGAGTTACATCCATTTAAAATAGTATATATATAGTATATAGTATATAGATTACTCAAAACAAATGATCCGATCACTATCAATTTTTTTTACATGTTCATATATAGTTCTCCGTAAAATGAACTATCGATTTTTTGATCGGATCAAAAATCGAATTTTGGCAGTTCAAAAACGACCAAAATTTTGGGTAAAATTCGACTTTTATTTAAACGCCGCCATTTTGTCAATTTTTTATTTTTTTTCCATCGTAGGTCATTTTACAGACAATATTATCTAGTTCAACAAGTTTTTTTTTATTTCATCCACGTAGAAGGCCGGAATCACTGCAGCAGTGAAGAACTTTTTTTTCGCGCCGTTGGAGATCGACGATTACTTAAAAAATATTTAATTTTTTTCTTCAAAAATTTTACTATATATTCTTAAAACATGTGTAAATATATTCTTAAAATTTTAAAAATATAAATTCCCAAAAATCACATTTTTTTAGGCGGTTACACTAGTTGTGCCCCTTGAATTAAAAAAAATAACTTTTGAAATTTTGAACTTTTTTCGAAGCTATCGCACTGCTTTAGCTGCATAGAGGATAAAATCGTAGAATCGAATTGCCAAGCCTAGATAGCATTTATCTAATAAAACTTCTAGTATTCTAAGGAAAAGCGAATTGCCAAGACTGGATAGCATTTGTCCAATTGAGCTTCTGGTATTCTGAAAAAAAAACGAATTGCCAATACTGGATAGCACTTGTTCAATAAACTTCTAGTATTCTAAGAAAATAATAACAAAGCGCGTAAGCGTCGCGTCGCAGAATAAAATCATCGAAGTGCTTCTAGATTTATAAAAATATTTTTAGAACTATAAACAATATTTTTCAAAACTATAATTCTAAACTCATTATTTACTACTTAATATTTTTCCAACGTCAAATATATACGAACTAAACATTGATGTATGTTCAGAGAAGGTAATTCAGTGTTATATAAGAAGTTATCTTCGCGAAGAATATGTAACTCTTGTCAATTGTAGCAATTATGGTCTGGTGTAGTATTTCGATACTTATCCTGTTTATCAAACTTCAACAAAAATCAAGGAGGCCGTAAAATAGACCAATCTTATTGCAAGCTTTTACGTAGCAATTTTCGTATAAAATGATACAAAAAACTGTCAAAATGCTATCTATTTGCTATGCAGTAAGGCGTTTTACACATAAGATACTCAACTCGTATACTACATAAACATGAATATATTATATTCTAATATTGTCTAGACTACATCACAAAGAGCCAGTTATAACATTCTTTTTTTTACGTTTGTGCGTTTTGGAAATTAGGTTTTTTATCAAAAACGCCTGACTGTACAGGAACCACATGAAATTTTGAAAGTTTTTAGTACCACTTTATATGAAAACTGCTACGTAATATAGTCTTATCATAGCATTGGTCTATTTTACTGCAGAATCTGCCCATAGATGAGTAGTACACAAATAAAAGACAAGCCAAATAGTTTTCTTTTATAAGTCACTATTAAATAACAACCTTATTACTCAATGTCTTTCTATAGAATAGGCAGATAATGATTTATATTTTATATTTATCTTGTTAACTTCCCGTAGTTATGGTGATCGCAAAAAACCGAAAATGAAAATAATAGAATATCTTTACGTTTCAACAGTTTCTGAATATTTTGGCATAATTTAATATGTGTGTGTATGTAGTATGTCTCTAAAAGAGTTTAGCAGCGCAATTGCTTTGGACAAAATCAAAATTTTCAAAAAAATTTAAAACTTTTAAAAATATTAAATTATGGTACGGGAAGTCTGTGCAATTTGCCTTAAGGTACAGATGCCTTGCTCTAACAGTTTATATTGTTTTTATTCGAAATTGGTTCTCCGTTGGACTTCAGAAAAAGATTGTATATTAACTAGCACTAAAAAGAGCATTTGAACAGATTCAAATATCTCTAATAAGAAGTATATCCCTAAAAATCGTTCTATAAAAGGTACGTTGGCTGATAATTCTAACTAGTCGTGCATGGCATTGTGCCTTAAGGAAAATTGCTGAAACTTCTTGTACAGTTTGGGCGAGTTAAATCTATGTTTATCCATCTACAAGAACAAAAACATAAACACCGTCAACACAAGGAATATGCTTTGTGAATCACTCTAATCGGATACGCCGTTTTCTCAAAACTGCTACTTTCTGCAGTTTTTGCTTCTTATCTCCGAAACTGCTGGACCTGCTTTTGCAAATTATTTTCTCAATCAATAGGAATGTTTTTTTAATTATTCTAGTCGGTAAAAAGATACATAAAATAATTCATTTTCGATTTTTTTGCGATTACCATATAACTCATCCAACGGGAAGTTAATTATATATATATATATATATATATATATATATATATTTATTATAATAATTAAATTGTTATCAGTTTTAGTTTCTATAACGAAATGGTTGAATGATAAATTAATTTTTGTTTTTATTGAACATCAACCAGAACTTATGAGTTGCTGTAATGATGCTTTATGTGGTTTTTTGAGGAGCCAACTAAATGATTTGCCTATGCCTATTCTAATTTAATATACTTACATTTATTGGGGCATCGAAGCTGGAAACTTCGGCTAAAAGAACAAAGCTCTTACGACAGAGCCACGTAGAAATACCATTTAAAAATTATGTCCATTACCGCATTACTATTACCCTTTTGTTACTACTTGCTTATCAATAGATAAAATAATTGATTGCAATTCACAATTTTTCTATATCTGAGTATATACTAGTTAGTATAAAGCAGTTATAATCATCGTTGCTTATATTTAATTTTAATTTGATATTTGTAATTAAATAAATATATTTTTTCTTTTTCTATTTCACAAATACAACTGTAAATCAAGTGTTTGTTTATTGTGCGTGGTTTTTGTGTGTGCTTTTTAAATAGCTGGTGTGGTAAGTTTTCTATATTTTATTTATTTGTTACTTTTATTATCAAAAATTGAACGACTGGACCTGGATTAGGATTCTGGGTTCGATACCCACTTCGAGCAGCCTGTTGTCAGGCAGCAGTGACAACGATTATCACTTGGAAATATAGATAGCAATATGTTTTCAAGTGAAAACAGCCCTAATACGACATTGCTGTACCAATTAAATGCATCACTATTACAGTAATCGTAATAATAAAAATTCAGCTCATAGAGATGAGAACTGTTTGGGTTGCCATCTATAATAAAAACAAACGTAGTTTGTAAGATATTAATCACAACAGCTCATAGAACCGAAAAGTTCTGATCGCTGTTAAAAAAAAAACTGTTGTTATTCTGTATTGTTGGTGATAGTGCATATTATAAATATTTTGTTCTTCCGAATCATTTTTTTCATTTAGTTTCAGTCCTTTTTTGTTGAATATTTTATGAATTTTAGATTTAGAGAATTTATTCATTATATTTTCTTTTGTATTATTTTTTGCAGTATTATCCACAAAAGAGTCAAAAAGGGATCCGAGGTTTGATTTAAAAAAAAAAACAAAATTTTGTTTTTTTAGTAACTGGATGGATAATTGTTAGGAACCTTTTTTTGTTTGTTCACACAAATGTATATAGAAAGATATCACTCACTATGAGAAATATCCAATAATGATCTTAGCGCTACCTTTCCAATAACTTCAACAATAACTTGGAAGAAATCATAACACCACAGCTCATAGCACAATAATTATAAGAATAATGCTTTTAAAAATATTAATAACTAGAATATTTCCAATTTTACGCCGACCTGTGTAAATTATGCTTACTACGAAGCTTCTGCATCAACTCTTTTATACGCTGTACCATAATTGTTCCAAACTTATTCATGCTGAGAATTAAGGTCTTCGGCTGTCTCTTATATAAGTTAGAATTTATGTGCCGATTTTGCCGTAAAAATAGACCATTTTTATGACAAGATTATGTTACGTGGCAGTTGTCATACAAAATTGTACTGAATACTGTCAAAATGCCATACATTTTCGGATCTTTTTACACATAAAATACAACTTCACTCATGTTATTGAACCATGTCAGAAAAATCCAGTTATCATATCGTTTTTTTTACATGTGTGCATTTTCTAGGCTAGGTTTTTTATCTAAAACGCCTGACTGTATAGCAACTATATGGGTTTTGACAGTATTTAGTACGATTATGTACAACTGCATAACATTGGTCTATTATATAGCAGAATCGGCCACTTACACTACTTTCATAATATTTTTGTTAATCAAGCTATCAGTTGATGGTTTATAGTCTAGTCATTTAAGCTTAAATTAGGTATGAATCTCGGAACTCGAGATACTCAGCTGCAAGTCTGTAAATATTTGTATATTACCACCCTAAAGTTGTCTCAAAACCTACTTATGATAGGGTGTCAATACCATATGTAGGTTTTGAGACAACTTTAGGGTGTCAATATACAAGTGTTTACAGACTTACAGCTGGGTATCTCGAAATCCGAGGTGAACTTACTATAATGACTGGACTATTACGTTAGATGTATACAATTAAAATTTTGTGATCTTTAATTATATTTAAAGATAGAATATATAAGTAAATTGAGTATATTTAAATTCTGCTCGAGAAAGTAATTTAAATGTAATTACCAGCATATTATTACAACAATAAAGCTTTAGTCAATTTTTTGCTTTGAGAGATATTTGGACCGACTTCAATTGTTATCGCCCACCTTCTCTGAAAATACAATTGTTTACAAAAAGTTTATGAATAGTTCTCCTGCTTATGGTACACATTAAAAAAATTAATTGGATTATTTAGAACTTAAGACGTGAAATGATACCTACGAGAAGGGTGTATGAATTTAGGACTTACACCTTCTTCATTTTCAACACAACATGATTTCACTCGAAGATAACGCATAGAACTTTAACACTTTGGGGACGGCTGTCCACCTGAGTGGACAAACATACTTTGTGAGGCACAGGCTATTTTATAAACAATGACTCAGTTTGCATCGAAAAGTTGAATGAATTATATATAGCAATGATAAACAGCGTTGTGTTCTGAAAATAATTTTAAGTTATTTTAGTAGTATTTTTAGCCTTTTTTTGCTATATAGTCTTTTTTTAATATTTAAAACAACCGAGCGCTTTTAAATATGGCAAAACGACTGGTAAATTTTGTGAATTAAGCAGTAGTGAAGATGAGTTTCAAATAGACATTCATACAGACAATTTTTACGAAATTACTATTCGCACCGCAATAGTGATGAATGTGATGATGATATTATCCAACCAACAAAAAGAAGAAGTTCGACAAATTAAATGAAGAGCGGAAAGACATTAGCGAATGTGCCGATTCTGCTTCAATAATCGAGTTTAACATACATCAACAAACAACCCGACTACAAATACCAAGCAATATAAGACATCCAATAAATTATTTTACTTTATATTTTACAAATTAATTATTAGACAATATAATAGAAAAAACAAACCATTATGGCAGCACAAAAATGAACAAATATACTGACTAATCAGTAGCATATTCTAAATGCGAGAGAAAAAAAGGGATTGTATTGTCTGTTCTGACAGAAAAGCACCAGGAGGAAGGGGGCGAACAACATTTTATTGTAAAACATGTCAAAATCAACTAGCTATGCATTTTAGAAATTGTTTTGAACTCACTATTCTTTATAAATTGATCAAAAATAAATGAATATTATAAATGTATGACCTTCAATGACCACAAATTTTTATCAAACAAATTGCATAGCATACACAATGAAATCAAGTTTACAACCTGTACAGTAAATTGTTTTGAAATCGGTGCCGTCCCGTAAGTGTTAAATAATCCTGATTATTTTTTAATTCTGTTTACTAACACCGAGCAGGAAGGACAATGGATGTCGATCGCGCAGCAACTCTACTTCAACTGCGGACCAGGTGTGTTGCTCGGAGTACAAGAATTGCAAAGTGATTAATGTTAATTTGCATCGATAGCATTTAGCAACAATATCTAGAAGTGGCGGATTATGCGCTGCCGCGTAGGGAACAGGTTTCAAGTCTCTCAATGTGGCGGGGATCGACCGGGAGAGATCATCGCTGCTTGGCCGTTCTGTGAGTACCTGGCCGAAGACTATTCCGCGGTCTGGCGCCAGTAGCTGCGGGCAACTCGAAACAGTTGGTCGTCTTCTCTAAAGGATCTCTCGCTGGATTCTTGTTTGTACTTTGTTATTGTTGTTGTTCCGTAATAATACACGGGGCAATAGTGCTTACCCCGGAGTTCAAGCGTGAAGGACCTCTTCAACCTGAGCGCGGTAGGTGCGACATCTGAACTAGGATCTACTGAGAAGACACCGAAGGAAGAACAGTGCACGTTTGATCATGGCGCCTAGTTCTGCGCTCGGTTGTTTTGTGATATGTTTAGTTTACGGTATGTACCTAATTTTATTCTGACTTTTAATTATAGATTTGACATATTAAACTTTATATATTAAAATTATTATTGAATTTAAACGATTGATTGAAGTCACGATTAAAGTGACTTATTAAAAAATATTACTAAGTATAATAAAGTGGTAGCAGCATATTCTCAATTCCGGTGTGATATTATTTCGAACATTTTTTTTTTCATTTTATAATACTCCAAAATAGAGGATCATATTTAAAAGTTAATTTTGCTTAAACACTCACATATATCGTGAGTACAATGCACTCATCTCCGTTTTGTACACATGATTGATATCGAAGTTTTGTACAAATTGTAATACGTTGCATTGTATTATTCGTCCTTTAATTTTGTTTTTTTTTAATTTTTATCTATGTCAGTGTCAATATACAGTTTCGATGCGTTTTTTGAATATCTTCGAACCGAATTATTCATTGCATGATCTATGTTTGCGTGTAAGAACTCCCAATCCTTTCATATTATGTTGCGTATAATCGAGTTTTTTGTATTGTTTTTAGTTCATAATTGATGCTTCTAAGATTGTGATGCAATCTGGTACTTACTTGTAATTAAATAAATTACAGTTTGCAACTTTAAAATAAATTTTAATACCGTTATGCTCAATCATGATAGAATATAATTTATTACTGCTCATAATTTGGTTAATTTGTAACAGCAGATTATTTATAAAAATGCATCCTGTGCTAATGATGTACTTTATTTTCGAAACATTCGATTCAAAAATACTATTGAAATATTTAGGTAAAAATAAAGTTTATAATATATAACAATTATCTATAAATAAATTTGGATAATTTATAACGCGCATAAACACAATAAAATTAGAAAACCGTTAAAACCATATAAGAATATGCGAATAGTGGTCGTTATTGTCGATAAAATCTATAATTATATTGCGGGAATAGTATTTACTTAATTTTTGAATAATCATCATACAGTAGTAACGGATCTGCAATAAACATATAATTTGTTAAATATAAACGGGCAATAGATTGAGTAGGCCACTAGGCTATATTCCCTTCGGTTCACTGATTTAGAAGCACCGTTGTAAATTCTAGTTATTTGTACGGAAGCTTTATGATATATGGATTTAAACGATCTTAACATATTTACCTACATAAAATGCAAAAATCAGAGACCTACAAGCACAAAATGCTGAAGCTGTCTCGGATACTTGTGATACGGGCGAGCATGCAATCCATTGAAAATATCAAGTTATGTGTTAACCGTAATGTTGTTAAAATTACCGGATGATGCATTTATCTTCTACACTACATATGTATACACACGATTGTGAATCTAGAAGTTTTTTAAACAAACTTTCGATCAACACTCGCGTTTGTCCAAATTAGTTTTTTATCATGTTTTACGGCGGCATCGTCATAAAAATTCAATCGTGTGAATAGAGTTAATTTTAAGAATCGAGAGTGGTCATAGGTGAAAATTTTTTAATTAGAATAAACCGAGATATCGCTTCGTTTAAACTGGTATTGAAATTTTGCGTTGACCTTATTTGTTGATTTCACTGCAAAAATAACGTATTCTGACTGCAAGCAGAGAAAGTATATGCTATAGCCTCTTCACCTTTAAGAAATTGATGTGTGAATTAATATTAGTAAATTTTTGGAATTAGATATTAATAAAAATAAAACACCTTAGTAGCGGTACTGCATGTACAAGCATAATTTGATAAAAATAGTTTTTTTAATAAATGTATATAAAATGCATAAACTAAAGAGAGTGGTTGCTGAAAAGGAACCGCTACTAAGGTCAAGCAATATTTTCTACTCTGCATTGAAAAATAAATATTAGCTTTAGATGTTGGTAAGATTTAATTTTATAAATGATGAACATTACATATTAAATTTAGTAGATATAATAATAAATGTTACTGCTAAATATCATTTTATTGCAGTTTTATTATTGTATATTTGTCTAATATCATGTGTATACACATCTGTAAAATATTGTTTTGGCATATATGTGTTATACACAGACTATATTGTTACTTTGACTAATTAATAATTTATTCGTTTCTTCGAATTTATGTAATATATTCATATATGTAATGAGGTGGAGGGTAATTAAATTTACTATTTATTAATATATTTGAATTCGATTAAATTATATTACAAATTTCAAATATATTTTATTGTCGCATGCTTGGCAAACACTTACGGTTTTGGAATAGGGTAGAGCAAGGCTTAAAGGTCCGCGGGTGAAAAGGTCCACCACCGATATCTCAAAAAACAGTAAAGTCAGGTATTTTTAAAAATAATATTTAAAAGTAGACGGAAATAGATGTATGACCAGCCATCACCTTGATTCTTACAACGTCGCTATCGGGAGATAAACGTCGAAGTTTGAAAATCCATAACAAAAGTATTTTTATTTGTTGTTAGTTTTTTTGTTTGTAAGCCTAGTTGTTTAGTTTACTTTTTTAATTGTTTTATAAGAATTATTGGTAATTTTACATTAGATTCAATCTATATAAAAGCTTACATTTGGGTGATAAGACCAACTGAAAATTTACTTTGTCAAAGTTGTAAAAAAATAGCAAATAAATAAGTGAATTAAGTTAAAAATGTAATTTTACAAGAGATAAATTAAATAAATAGTCATGCCAACTATGCTGATGAATATACCTGACGAAATATCTGATCAAGTTTATATCCATTGTTATCTTTGTAAAAAAATGCACTTATGAAATTTATATATTGCATTGGTAGCTATTCTTTTGTAAAATCGCCTGTTTACCCCCTTGCCGTCCCAATTTACCCCGCCTATAGGGTAAAAAGGACCAGGTCACAAATTTTTGAAAGACAGCAAAAACACACATTTCTACAATTAGCTAGGAGTTTTACTGATCATAGTCAGATAGTTGTTTGTTTGATATGTGTCATTTGTTGTTATATAATTAATTGGTTTGATTTTCACATTATATTTACTCAAAGTTAATTTGGATCTTTGTGCCCCGCCCTACCCTAGTATTTTATTGTATAAGTAAATATTTAGGATAACCGTTTATTTTTACATTTATGTTTCAGTGGCAAGTGTTAGAGCAAATTATGTTGGCCGTAGCCTTGGCCCCCTGTCTCAGTTTCATCATGGCGTAAGAGGCGAAGTGTTTGCCGTGGATTCCAGAACCATATTCATCAAGGGCTTTAACTACGACGGAGAAGGACCCGGTGAGTAATGAACTAATTCTAAAAGTCTACAAGTTAATGTGTTCCGCGGGATCTGCATATCAATCTCGCAGCGATCGACACGGCTGCGCAACGGGTTGCGATAAAACGTGAGTCGCGCGCGTGGATTCTGATGCATGTCAAGTCAAGCACTCAGAGGCCCTAATTGTGATAGACGTTTAATCGATTCTGGCGTTTTGATTTATTTATCGACCTGTCGGGGAAATTTCATTCTGCTAATCAAGTGCAATTACTTATCACGACCTATTTGGAATCTTGTTGAATAATTTATTACGATTTAAATGATTTTGCAACAACTTCAAAATATCTTACATATTCTACATCAGAATTGTGAAATGCTTCAAGCTTATTTAACTATCGAGTTTAATTTTTGATTGAATCTCTCTAAATTATTTATATAAGGTAGTAAATATTACGCTGGTCTTACGACATTTGAATACTCTAGACCTCTAGTGTGATTGCTATGAATTCTTTACTTCTATTTCGGTTTTGTGATTTATATCTGTGTTGATGTTTGAATATTTGTGAAAACGGTAGTGCTTTAGATTCGAAATTTAATTCGATAGAAGAGATTTAATTAAGCATAGTCTATAGGTTATTGTTAAATAAAATACCGGTTATTATAAAAAGTAGACATATGGTTCATCTTCCTCACCACACAATTGATAAGTATCTTAAATATTTTTTTATGGAAGCAGCACTAAATAATGGATTAATTTAAAAAAAATAGAGCTAGTTTTCTCAATACGTCTGTCGAGTTTCTATATGGAAGAGCTGGGCTCAAAGATCCGCGGGCAAAAAGGTCCACCGCCGATATCCCAAAAACAAGAAAAGTTAAGAATTTTTCAACAATATTTTAAAGTATATCGGGAGATAAACAGCAATGTTTAAAATCCATAACAAAAGTATTTTGTTTCGTTGGTAGTTTTTCTGGTTGTATGCACTGTTGTTTTGTTCACGAGCTGTTAGTCGTTAATGTAGCTATTATTTCGCAAAATTTCTTCAAAATTGGACCTGTGTGCCCTTGTTTCGGGTTCGATTCCGCTACCGCTAGATTGATATTAAGCAGTATATCCGATTCTTACTTGATATTATAGATCTCAAATATGATGTCAAGTGAAAATTGTTTCAGGGGCATTGCAGAAAAATAATAAAGACAGTATGTTCAAAATATAGTACGACTATAAAGAACAACTACTATGTTCAGTTAAGTTAACAAATCAATTACTGAAAGTTTCATATAATAACAGAGCTATTATAATTCAATTGGAATTAAAAAGTGCAATACGCGCATTTACTCTGTACCGGATGTATTTTGCTGACAAAACGACCGGCAAAACATCTTTCTTGGCCGAGTGTCATTTCCGTTCTCTTATGCATACAAACAATACTGCAATTCGCGAGAATTTATGCGTCCATCGCGTGTTAATGACATTTTCTGTTCGGAAATTGAATTCTCAATAATTGAATTGTAATAAGTGAAATAACAACTGTTGGCCTTCTGGCGTGTGCCTCGGGCCATACGCCTGTTTGTTAACTGTCTAACGGCCTATGTCATTACAAATGCGTGTTGTATTCGTCGCGGACCTGCAGCATTCATTGTTGCGCTTTGAAGGGTATCACAGTATTAGAAAGGTGTCCTAAATCCATCTCTCATCTACTGGGACTTGACGGGTCTTGCTTTGCGGTATGCGGCAATCTCGTGCCATTGATACCCCATCAGCGGGATTCAATGATGTGACCTTGTTCGCGTTCGACGATTGCACGCTGCAATTTACGCTGCCGCCGCGTCGTTTCGCCTTTGACGCGAGTTTGCCAGCCTAGATGCCGACCGATGCGGCCGGGTCTTCGATCGCTTTAACAAACACTTGTCATCGCTGTCATTCATAATGTTTCGAAACGCCCTACACAATGACTCGGTGCTTCTTTTGTTGCCGGTCGTTTCTTTTTTATTGCGTTTGTTTTACGGCCGCTGAAAGGACTACATCTCGTAGATAAACGTGCTTTTACTATTGTTTTGTTTGCTATTAAAAATTACCAGTCTTTAGAGTTAATGTTTACACGATGTACATACATAAAATGTGATCGATATAAAGCCGCTATAAAATGTGTGAAGTGATATAATATTGCCTGAGATTGAAAAAAATATGCATTATTATTATAGTATTTTTTGTATGTATTAATGCATCATTTTACATTTTATCTGCTGCTATATATTTGATGAGTAGGTGAGACTGGGTCGGGTGTGGACTTTTTTTTCATCAGCAATAATTTTATTTATTTATCAGTTAGCTGGAAGAAAAGTCAATTCAATGGTAATTTGAACATTTGTCTACGTGGAAATAATACAATACTGTCCTAAGATACCATGTATATTAGTAGTATTAGTCAAAAATCAAATCATACAAGTAGCACAACCGTCAACACCCGAGGATAATGGTATTCAACGACTTTGTCAAAAATATATAACAACACAACACAACATAATTATTTAAACAACCCTTAGGAATATAGTATAACAATATATAACTGAACATAAATTTCTAAATAAGAAAAATTTGTAAAATCTTTTGTTTTATTGTATGGAATTTTTCTTTTCCTTTTTCTTCCGCATTTTATGTTAGTCAAGTTAGATTTTTTTATCTGTTTAATCTTCGCCCGTTTAACCTTCTTAAAGAACAAGAAATGCGTGTAACACATATACATATCACATAAAACATAATGCTGGTAAAAAACTACTAATGCTTACAGCAAAATAAAGAAAGTGATCTATCTGTATACAAGTAACAGTTAATATTGAAAGAAATCGAACAAAAAACATAATTTAAAGCAAAGCGGTCTACAGAACATGTTAATCGGGTGCTGATACAATGCAATAATGGAAACTTGTTCGAACAAACATACTTTATTATTCTCTATTTGGACCTCAAAATAAATATAGTTTAGCTATAATGACGACTGTCACTACCGTACCCTAGCAAGAACCGTGCCCAGTCTCCCCTACTTTGGATTGCCATATTATATATGCTACGTCAAATTATATTGTTAGTTAAAAAGATTTCTCTGAATGGTATCAATTACAAAATTATGTTAATGTTAAAATAGTTATTTAACAGGTTCAGCTTCTCGAATTACGCTATTTTATCTAAATTAAAATTTAACTAGTAATTGAAACAAATTAAACAATTTCAATCAACGAATTTACATAAATCTACACAGACAAAAAAAAATCAATATGACATTCAATTTATATTTAAACGGACTTCACAATGTACTCGTTTATAATATAGTTTTTAATTAAAATTTCAGCTTGCAGTGTTTTTGTTAATTTTTGTAGATTTCCTTTCATTTTGAAGCACTATTAAAATATTTTTTTGCAATAGAAAGTTAAAAAATCAATATTGACCAAGCACTTGAACAATCATTGTTTTTTTATGCTATTACATGTTTTGTAATTATTAACATAGAAGATTCATAATTACATCGTAATTGGTTTTGACAAAACATTATGAGATATAAATTTAAAAATCTAAAATAAATAAAGTAATTTAAAAAATTTATATTAAATTTTGTTATTTAACAGTAAATTATTTTTTAAAAATTTATTGTAATAATATGATTGAAAATATATTTTACATAAACAAATTTCAGCTTTGCATTGGAAAACATTATGTTTTTATTAGAAAAAACATTATGTTGTTAATTTCGTTTTGTCAACGTTTCAAGTCATTCTAATTCTAAATTTTAAATCGTTTCGCGCAAAATGTTAAAGAATTATGAATGCGCATAATCAAAAATTTGCATTTTGCTTACGTTTTCTCGAAAACTGTTTAAAAAACTTTTAAAATGTAATTTCAATCGGTTTTTACATAAAAATATAGATAGCACTACCTTTCCAAGTAGCCCTTACCCCGGCACTATTGCATCCAATAAGAAGTTCATCAGCATTACTTATTCTGATAATAAATTCTTCAAAAAGAGATAGACCATCTGTCGCCATCAATAAAACCACGTTATCAAGAAGCCATTACAATAAGGCAAGTTCTTATTGCTGTTAATAATATAAACATATTATGTTAATAATTAGTATATGTCAGATAAACCTAATAATTCATTTTTGAAAAAAAAACTCTCACAGTAGTTTTAAAAACAAGGCATATATTTTTTTACAAAATGGAAATTATTATCGATCCGAGTAGATATGCTCACAGGAATATTATGATGATTACATAACACATCGATTGCTTATTAGGAAGAGGTTCAGTTACCGACTTCATCCAGTCTGACATTTTATGCAAGAAACTCGTAAATTTGTTTGAGATTCTCCGTCTAATCGATCAAATTGTGTGTGTTGGCTTTCATCGTACAAGAATTACATATTTTGTGTTATGTGCAATATCTTCAACGGCAAAAAAATAATAAAAAAAACTTTCATTGTTTGTCGAATGCGTCGGCATACGTGTCTACATAATACTAACGCCGATTACATACATTACAACCACTTGTGGAAGCACACAGCATAATATTTATATATATATATATATATATATATATATATATATATATATATATATGCATGTGAGGGAGTTCATCTTCTAGAGGATTCAAGTATAAAATGCCAACGACCTTAAAAACTATTAGAAAGTATTCGATCTTCAATCTTTTCATCTCGATGAAGTAATGACATGTAAGTCAGATTATAAATTGCAACTGGTGCTGCACTGTTTCTTATGCAAAATATGGAATATAATTAGCAGGTTGTAACATTATGCATAGATGACCTTTCTTGTACACAAGAAATTGTTGAAATTATATCATACACTGTAGTTTCAGTCGGCTTCCTCTATTGTTATGTATTGGAATAGTCTGGTTGTCTGTAGTTACACAGTAGAAATAGAGCAATGTAAGAAAACATTTGTGAGCAGGAGTCACGAATTCTGTAACTTATTTTTCAAAATGTCTTTTCCTCGTGAATTAATGTT